TGCTAATGATGCTGCCTGTCAATCTCTGTCTGTCTTCAGTAAACAGAATACAGTGAGATCAACGCAGTGACACGGGAAGAAAAACTGCTGCCTGCACGGATGGATGGATGGATGGATGGATGTAGAGATCGATGGATGGATGGATGGATGGATGGAGGGATGGGTGGATGGATGGATGGATGGAGGGATGGGTGGATGGATGGATGGATGGAGGGATGGATGGATGGATGGATGGGTGGATGGAAAGATGGATGGATGGATGGATGGATGGAGAGATGGAGAGATGGATGGATGGATGGATGGAGAGATGGAGAGATGGATGGATGGATGGAGGGATGGATGGATGGATGGATGGAGAGATGGATGGATGGATGGAGGGATGGATGGATGGATGGATGGATGGGTGGGTGGATGGGGAGTTGGATGGATGGTTGGAGAGATGGATGGATGGATGGATGGAGGGAGGGATGGATGGATGGATGGATGGGTGGATGGAGAGATGGATGGATGGAGAGATGGATGGATGGATGGGTGGATGGAGAGATGGATGGATGGAGGGATGGATGGATGGATGGATGGATGGATGGTTTGATACATACATATATACATACATTCATACATACAGTACGTACATAAATACATATGTATGTATGTACATAAACCACTAATAATAGATAGACAGATCCATTATTAGTGGTTTATTCTGAATTCACTCTTAATGAAAAATACATGGCCTTGGCAGCAAAAGTCCATTTGTTTCAGAAACAATTCCCTTTACATTTTTTTATTTTTTTTTTATGTTAGGGAATCTTCCAGGCTGTTGTTTGTTTAGAAAGAAAATTGCAGAATTACTTTCTCGTTGCATTTAAAAAAATATAACATTTTCTTAGCAGAAATGGACTATGTCTCCACTGAGGCAGGAAACGATAAAAATTCAATTACAGGAAGATACCGTTTTTCACAACAATACGTAGGAGAATTATGATTTCTCTTCCCCAGATCCCAGGTCAGTTTTTATCAGAAAGAGCATTTACTGTATGAGCCCTGCCATATCACTATGAACAGCTACGGCTGTGGTGAGACAATACACTGTATACAGGAGAATTATAAGTACCTGACCTACAGTCTCTCTTCAACCGCAGCTCTACGTCCATCAGGTGATATTCAAGCAGTGAATTTAGACTCAGTGAAGCTCCGTCAGCTGGGGATAACTAGGGGGTTTCTTCAGGGTGGGGGTCAGAGGGATTATCCAGGGGAGAGGCCACAGAAACGATACAAGTCAGAATCAAAGGCACAATCCAAAAAAGACGCAGAGGAAGACGCAGAAGAGAGGACCCGTTGTCCATCCAACCTTGAACAATAATGAGATCTTATTAGTTTCCATTCACACTGAAGGCAGGGTGGATGACGTGGAGGGAAAAACAGAGGACTATTAAAGCTGCTTTCCTTTTGGGGAGAAAAAAACCAGCACTGAAATCATAAATCTGAGACAGTGAACTACTGCACCTCACTGCAGGGTAAAGATCGCAGCGATTACAGAGAAAGTTAAAAACAGTTCAGGTCAGCTGTGGCGGTGACCGACACTGACCAGGTCAGTGAGGTTTTTGTAAGGAATGAAAATGTTTAGACTCCAAGAACGTGGGGTTTCATGTTACGTTGTGTATAACTGCTTCAAAACAGGAACTTTGAGATCGTCAACCAGAACTTTATGTCATCCAACTTCTCCATTTTTTTTCTATTTCCCTTATTTTTAGCATCTTTTATTACCACGCGTCTCCAGCCTCAGTGTTTGTCCGCTTCTTTTCCTTCAATCGTTCACAGCCGAGGGCATATGAACTTTTCGGCGTGGACTTATCTTCTTTTTTAAATTTCATTTCTAGAAGGCTGTTCTGACATTGACATACTGGCCTTTGACTCAGTCCTCTCGCCTGAGGGGAGATTGCTCCACGACTGCCTCTCTCTGAATACTGATGTGAATGGTCGGAGGCAGCGCGGCACATTCCCAACCTATAGAGGAATGGTTTGACCCAAGATCTTATTACGTTCTATGTAATTTCAGCAATATTCAGAAGATCTTCAGTCCACGGCTCATTAATAATTCTGACCCAGAATGTACTTGCAACGACCTTTTTAAATCAAACTTTCTGTTAAGGTTGGCTGCAAACCTTTTTGTTTTTGCTAATTCCAAACCATAACCGCTGTAATGCTGTAGGTGGTTCCCAAAATAGGGGGCTGGGGTCCTTTAATGCATTGTTTCCTAAAGACTGGGATGCGACCCTCAGGTGGGTCGCAAAGGATTTTTTGGGGGGTTGTTTCGGATTGTGTTTCCCAGGAGTTTACGAATACTGTTTATTGACTTGGGTCGCGAAGGTTTGTGACTTTTAAAATATGGGTCCCCAGAAAATAAGTTTGGGAAACACTGCTTTAAGGAAAATCACAGAAAGCCGAAGGGGAAATCATTTTCATTTTTCAATGATTTTCAACCTAAGATTATTGTTTGGGATTGTTTTTTATGGCCTTTATGGCTTTGGAATTCAGGTGGGTTTCATCTGGTTAAAGGAGGATTCTGTAAAGTGAAAAAATGTGCAGCTAGCATAGCCGTTTTATTTGAAAACATCTCTCTTGTGTATGAGTGTATATATATGAGTGTGTGTCTGTGTTTGTGCACAGTGAGCAGCATTTTCTTTGCTCTTCATGCGTATGTTGCCAGGATACGCTGATATGAAGGTTCACTGTTTGGGTTATCACCCTGGGCCACAGACCTCGACTGCCCACACAGAAACACCACAGTTACATCTTTTCCGCCGAGCTCTACATAAGCCAAAAGCACCCGAAGGATTCTCAGCGTTGAAGGGTTGAGCCATCAGAGGTGAGCCCTGGGAGAACGGGTGTGGGTGGAGGATAAGACTCACTTCCTGGTGGACAGGAAATTCGACTTCCTGCCTTGATTAATGAGGGGGGGCTGCTGGATCACAGAGGGGCCCTGTGGGGCCTCCAGCACTGAGAGCTCCATCCACGTTTCACCTCAAGGACCAACATTTCTTTCACTCCTTTCATTGGTTCTCAAAATGCCTTGGGTCTCAACTACGTGGAACTGTTCTTCTGTCTGACACATAGTTTGTTTGTTTCCCAGGCTCCCACTTCCCTCTGGTGTGTGTGGTGTGGGTGTGTGTGTGTGGACTTTGTTTGTGAGTCCATGGGGGTCAAGATCCAGTAAAACTGGTGTTTCTCAACCCGGTGTCACCGGTGTCACAGGAGTTGTGTCTGGAAAAAAAAAAGAATGTAAACAGTGAGTACGACTGAACTCTGCTGAGCTGCGGGGGTTCAGCTAGCATCCATGCGACTGGGGAACTAAAGCAGGACGGCTCTGGTGAGGAGTGTGTGTCGGTATGTGTGTGTGCGCTTGAGGGGAGTGGATTGGGGGCTGGGGGAGTATAGGGAGGGAGTGGGGAGGCAGGCCCACAAGGGAGAGAGGGAGGAAGGAGTATAGCGCGAGGTGCTTTTTAAGATTTCATGTTCTCCTCCAGCCCCCACAGTTTGCAGATAAAGGTTGCTGTTGCCAAGGTGACTTGACAGAGAAAAGGAAAGTATCTAGCTGTGTTTCGTCTGTTCTTGTGCAGGAAGCTTAGAAGCCAGAGGCATAGATAAGATGATTTCAGTCCCTCCTCCACAGAACAAAAGCTGTACGCATGATATACTGCCTTAAATACCTCAACACTCTGGCTGCTGTATTCACTCTAAAGCTGCCTAAATATGTGAAACATGCAGTAATGAGAAAGTACCCCACACTGGGCTGAAGCCAGCGTCACACTCACGTAAACGCACACAAACACGGCGTACGAGGCAGACAAAGGAAGCGGTTCTCGTTACAGTCAAGAGGAAAAAACTCTTATGTTTATTAGGCATGAATTTCACATTGTGAAAAGAATCACATGTACAAAATAATGTCATAAAAATAGAAATTAAACTCTTACATGAAAGAAGGAACAGAAGAGTGATGTACACCGACAGCCTCTCTGTCTCGTTTGCATCGTTATGTGAAACTGTGATACTGTGCTCCAGTGTGGGCCAATGGGATTTTCAGATAAAACACAGAATAAGAGGAGCACATGGCTAGAAATGGGAAATGCCACTCAGCAATTAGGAGTGAATTGAAGGGGCATTCATTACGTGCTGTTGTCAGGGTAACCCGTGCTCAATGGGTGAAAAAACTCCTCTTATCTGATTGGTAGATTCATAGGCTCTTGTGTTCAGTGGTTGGAGGAGGTCAACAGTATGGAGGCACAAAGGTCTCCGTACAAGTCCCCAAACTGCCAGTTAAAGAAAGGACTCTTGGGTGGCTTTGAGGAGCCAAGGAGGAATTCGCCGGGCTGTTCATCCAAAAAAACACATTTGCTTTGATTTTGAAAACATGAGGAAGTACTAAAAAAAAATACGTTAAGTTTGGACTCATTACCTCTTACAATGAGGAAGTCGAATAATATGAAACTGTACGATGTCAACGTTCAGTCAGGAAAGAGACGGAAACCCGGAGAGAAAACACAGATGAGAGTGACCAAGAATGTGGAACGCAGAAGTAAAGTCAGCATCGCTATCTGAATTCTTCCAAACTTGCAGTGATTTTTTTTTTGTTTTTCTTATATTCGTTAACACTATGGCGAAAAGCACTGCGGTGTCTGCCCTTGTCAATACACAGTTTACTGGATTCAACTCTTTCACTGCTTAGTGGTGAAGACGTCTGTGGCTTAACACCCCCTCGAAAGAAAGAAAGCACATGGGACAGTCTGATCCAGCTGTCCCCTGAGGACAGCTGCACAGAGCGCCACATTCTTAAGCAACTCAGGGTCACTCTGTGGTGTCCCCTTTGGGTCACAAATGGCACTGTTTCAGCTGCCTGATTCATGGGTTTTAGTTCATTCTTTACTTCTTCTTTACTTTCTGGGCAAAGTTTGGTCTGATACAGGTCTGTCAGGTTCTGCTACAGGAAATGGTTTAAAAAGAAACCATCAGAGGTGGAAAATGAAAAAAAAAAACATTTGTTTTTGTTTGGGCAGTAACTCTGTTTTGCTCATCCCTATCTAATCGGTCAAATAGAAACTTTGTCTCTTTTGAAAGAAAACATTCCTAAACTGTGCAAAATGCAGCCAACAAATAAAGCGACATCTGGCCATGCATGACATAACCCAAACATACGGTACTATTACTTATGACCACAGGCAGGTAGGAAATAAATAGGATTACACATGTGGAGTAGCGTCATTGTTGTCATATAAATTAAGACTACATTGCAGCAAGGTAACAGATAAACTGATCAGGTCTCAGTTGAAGGTTAAAGGTGACAAGATTTGTGGGACTGTGGCGGGAGCGTTCATGCCAGTTTTACAGAATCACTATGAGTGGACATGCTCTACGAAGGCTAGATCTGTGACTCAGAGATCGAACCACCGCTTCTGCACGGCGGCTCTTGTGCAGCGGCGTTGTGTACAGCCCAATGAAACGATGACTGAAGCTGAAAACTGCATTCCGCGGGTGTCGAAGCGTAGCTGCAAAAGAGCTCAAATGTAAGGTCGTGACCCCCGCCATGCACCTCTATAGGCACACTGACCCTCCAACGCCACCTCAGCCCCTCCCCGGGGCACTGCTGCGATCCCCTTCTATCGTCGTCAACCTCAGCTGGTGTTGTTTATCAACAACTTGTGGCTCGCGGTGACAGCAAACGACCAGAGGCTTCACGAGAGGGACACTCAGAGGTGTTTCTGAACAGGGACAGGGACGAGGAGTTACCAGAGGATAGAAGGGGAGGTTTGCTCCTTCATTGTGCCGTTTCATACAGCTCACCCGTGTTCTGTCAAACTAGACTTTGTTTGCTCCTTTTGCACACAAATCACCGGATTTGCCCTACGACAGTAACAATGGGACATTCGTCATGCTATACATTGCCGTCTTTGTATGAAAGAGTTATTTTTACATATTTTATCACAGAAGAAAAACATTACTACGAAGCCCCACAAGGCCTGCCACGAGTAAATAGGAAAAAACACAGGTCGTGTGCAATGTTTACAGTCTTGGCGTGGCAGCATAAAAAGCCTGATATGCAAGGTGTAGACAAGATTTGTGCCTCGGATAACAAGCAGCAGTTGTTTTGGTTGGTTTGCATGAATAACTGTACAGTATGCCTCGTCCCTTCTCGGTAAAGCGATGACATCATTCTGGGAAAGTGTCCTGATCATGACTCGTCTGTACATCACTGCTCATTGTCTTTAGTGTTTATCTTCACAGTTGGAGTCCAGTAGATGATGAAAAAACGGGGAAATCTGAGGAAGAGAAACAGAGAACACATTAGTGTGGGGTCACTTTTTCCTGATGTTTTTTTTTCCAGTCTTTTTAAAATCTTTCTGTCCCTGTACAATCCATAGGAGTGTATTACATTTAAAGAGAGCCACACAGCCTGAAGAAGCGTATTATTGAGCTGCTTGAGTCAGTTGTAGGTCCATTGACTCGTTTTCCTTCTCTTTTTCTCCGGTATCAGAATCCATGTACTTTAATTAATGTTTCACATTACAACACAGTATTACGGAGACACTCCGTAAAAGTTGTAATTAAGTAAAGCCTTGGAACTCATGTCACGACAGAGCAAACAAACATTCAAGATAAATCTATTGGTCACATTCTTGGCAGACTGTCTACTATTCATTCACTCTTAAAGTCTTGGTATCGTTAAGGAACCGTCTGAGCTAGAAAGAGTACACTTTTAGATAGCACACTGGAAAAAAAAAAGAAGAGTCACTATGGCCTGAATTTCTGTTCTGGGTTTGAGAAGATGCATCATCTCACCTACTAAACGAATCAGCCAGTGGTTAGCTAGTTAAAGCTGATGCTAATTCTTAGCGAGAAGAATCCAGAACATTCAATCACTATGTTCAATAAATATCAACAAATATTAAATGACAGCAATAACCTCTACATATATAAAGGTTTTCCTTAAAAGGCGGCCATCTTTCATTCGAGTACACATAAGCTCTTCTTGTAGCGGACTAATAGCAGTTCTGCTACATCCCACCTCAGCTCTAACACAGTTAATCCTTCTCACTGGAAACCCCTTTAAACTGCCAGACCACAGAGTGGTAACCAGATGAAGCTGATCGGGTTACTGTAGTGTAAAGTACGTACACAGACCCGTTGAGTATTTGTAGCTGTACTACCTTCATCTACATACGTAGTGCTTGTCCTGAAAGTAGCAGTACACATCAGATACGGAGATCTGGGTTCTGATTGTTCCACTTTCTTTTCTTTTTTTTGAAAATATCATTGACTTTGCCAGGAAATACAGACCCATAATTCACACCATATGTATGTATATATATTCACTTATTTATTATTATATTTTGCCACTGTAAGCATTTTCAACTGAAAGCTTTTCAGAAGAAGGGGTAAAAAAAAGTAGGGACTCTGAGAAAAGTTCGCATCGCTCCCCTGAGAGAACCTCCTCTCTTCCTCTCACAGCAGCGCTCTCACATACTTCCTCTCCTTTTCATTCCCTAGCAGTCGGCCTTCTTTTGCCTTCCTCCATTTCTCTACAGTTTGCTTTTACGCAACATTAAGTGTGTAGACTGTCAGCTGCTACGACAGGCAGGCAAATATGTAAAGAAAAAGAATCTGTATTAAATTAGTGACAGGATTTCACCCTTCACTGAGCTCTGGGTCGCACTGGTTTAGAGATAGTTCTACTTTCTCGCTTCTCACACACGAGCCTGTGACAAGGAAGGAAATAATAAGTCTTTAGAAATGTTTCACGGTGACGAGCAGAGAACAGGGAAGCTGCTCGGAGCTGCCTCCTCTGCTTTATGGAACTGGAGACCGTGTCGTGCCAGACCACTGAGGAGAAGCTGGATGTTGTAGGAATTATAACAAATGCAGCAAAAACACTGCCTGACTGGGTGTGACTGGGGTATGAAATGTGTGGTGCAGGGTGTTGGGGTTTGATAGGCAGTTCACAAAGACCAGGTAAATCGTCATGATCTACAAACACCTGGGTTTGTTAAGTATCGAGCAGGAAGCGGCAGGAACTGAAAGCCATTGGAAAAAAATACATTTTATCATCTGCAGTTGAGGCAGTCACCCAGAATTCTGGGGTCTTGATGAAGTTTTTAAGTAAAAAAAAAAAAAAAAAAACAAGTTTATAAATTATACAAGTTCCCAGCGGCAGCTTTGTTATCGTGGTTGGTCATGACATTTGTGAGTTTGGAACAAATGCCGCAGTGGTTTGTTTGTTTATATTTGGTATATATTTGCCCTTTACATTGCCCTTAAACAATAACACTGCATACAGTTTCACAAAAGTTAAAGTACATAACCTCTAAAAACAAAGTAAACACCCAGAATTCCAAACCTAAATTCCTCTGGTTTGAATGTGGCCCACGACTCTTAAAGATAATCAGTGTCTTCCTGGTTTTAAGGTGAGACTCATTTCCCACTTTGCCACTTTTTTCAGCCACCTCCACTCACAGGAGATAATGAATAGTTTCCTTTACTGCCGGAATCTGCTGCTGCCTCCCTCTCACTCAACGTAAAGACCATTACCTTAACAAAGAAAGCGACTGAGAGTGGATTAGCCTCGCTAGGGTGTCGAAGCCCACTGGTGTGTGGCCTGTGTAATTGGCAGACCCTCTTTTGCCTTTTAGAGAGATTTCCCCCACAGGAGCGATAAAAGTATCCCATTCTCTTTCAATTACCTTCTCTGTCCTTCAGCCCATCCCCGTAGCCACATAACTCACTTAACTAACGCACACAGAGCCCTATCAGTCGCACACAGATCCTCCACCACCTCCTTCTGTCTTCTGCACACACCGACACCCCCCCCCACCTATGATATCGCCGCTGCTCCTTTTAAAGGCCTGACCGAGAGCAGTGATCATTTTTAGCGTCTGTGCAATAGTTATGATTGACCACTCGGTGACGCATGCTCAACCGCATTAGATGTGAAATCCATTTCAGACGAGCAGGTTCATTGATCACATTTAAAATGTGCTCGTTCAGCATGTCACTTACTGGCTGATCATCAAAAAGAGCTCACTCACGTCAGGTGTTTGCATGGGAAAATGATAAACGGCCAATATTACATGCTGCGTTTAAGATGCTAAAATAATCAGGCTGAAATTCGCAACAACAAAAAAAACGCAATCCGTCATCCGAGGGTCATGATAAGACAATTACAAGAGCCTCCAAAGAACAATAAGCAATATGGACACTACTGTCTCCTATATTCTGAGTCAATCCTACCATCCATTATATCAAAGGATTTTGGTGTCGCCTTAAGCTAAGAGTTACTGCGTTTCTGTGGACAGACCTTCTTTTGGTCAGGTTTAGGAAAAGAAAATCTCATACAAACCTTATGGAATGGTATGGTTGCAGTACTCAGAGCTCAGGCGGGGAGATGTTTCCAGGTGCTGACGAAAGCAGTGGGAATGAGTGAGTATGGCACAGTAGTGATGCTGTTCCAAGCATCCAGCGTGGGGTCGTAGCAGTCCAGAGTTTTACAGCGCTGCGTGCCAAAGTATCCGCCCACCACATACAGTTTATTCCCCGATGCAACAGCCTGGCAGCTCATTCTCTTGGCTGTCACATCACCCACTTTAGTCCACTGATAGCTCTCGCTGCTGAACTTATAAGCTGAGCACGCTGAAAACTCTGTATCCCCACCCATAACAAAGATCTGGGTCCCCAGCACTGCTGCAGCCGTGTAGCGCCACGGTTGCGGACATGAGGCAGGCACAGTCCATCGGTTCTCTTGTGGATCGTAGCACTGCACCTTAGGCAGCTTGTCGTGGGTGACGCTGGTGCCGCCGAAGGCGAACAGCTTGAGCTTGACACTGACCACCGCCGCATTGCTAACGCCTTCTCTTAAAGGAGCCACCATGGTCCACTTGTTTGCCACGGGGTCAAACTGCTCCACCTGTTTTAGCGACACCGATGGGGATGCTGGCAGGCAGCCCGTCGCTGCAGTGTGGCCTCCCACCACATAGAGACAGTGTTTGAGCTCTGCAGAGCCGTGGCCAAACCTCGCAATAAGCATGGGCGCTGCTTTGGACCATTCCTCGTGCACCGTGTCGTACACCCAAACATCTTTTGACACCCCGTTCTCTGAGCCTCTCCCACCGGTGATGTACACTTTACAGCCAATGGCACAGGCACTGAACTCCTTCCTCGGGCTGGGGATGTCTGCCTTGGGAATGATCTCTTTGGCTTTCTGGTCTACCAGGTATAACTTGTCACACATGAAGGTCTGCCCTCCGAGAAGAAACAGGGCATGGCTGGTCTTTCTTGGTCGAGCACATGGGCTATTAACAACACCGTCATTCTGCAGAATCTTGAGCTTACAGCGGATAGCTTCATCCACCAGCTCCTTGCTCTTGGCCTGGGCGTTAATCAACTCTTCTGTGGAAACGTTTTCCATCAGAAAGATGGCGGGCAGCAAGGCAAGACGAACTGTTCTCAGAAGCTCCGGAAGGTGGCAGTGCCTTCTCTCCAGGTCATAGTTGATCCAGTTCAGGGCAGCTTCATAAACTAGTCTCTCGTCTTCTGTCTCGAGCTCCTCGTGTGATAAAAGCTGAACCACCATATCTTTAGGTAATTGGAGGAAGTCGTCCGTCTTGCAAATAGCGGGGAAGTTGCTGAGGCACATGCTCCAGGAAAGCTCTGACAGCTTGGTGCACTGGTGGGCATCGGACAGCAGCAGCATGCCAAGACAATTGGACGGGTGGAGGTTTCTCTCCAGGAATTCGGCACAAGCATCACGGATGTCCTGAAACTCCAACATGTCCCCTGCTTCCAGGAGTGACTCCGCGTTCTCCTCATTGATGACCACGCGTGAGGAGTATGCATAATCCAGCAGGAGCTCTAAGACCTCGGGGTGGATGGAGTCATGGAAGTCTACCTCACTGGCCTGGCTCTCCCTCAGCCCGCCACTGAACATGGCCTCGAAGTAGCGGCTGCACGCCGCCAACACGGCTCGATGGCAAGGGAAGGAGCGACTGCCGGCATGAAGGAGGACGTCTGTGAAAAGCCGCTGTTGCCGCAGCGCGTTAAGATGCATGAGGACGCTGTCGGCGTAGGAGGACTTGTGGAACAAGTAGATGTTCATAGAGCCGGTGCTAGCTCGGGATTTCCGGTTCTCATGGACACACACGGACATTTTCATTGAATCCTAGGAGAGAACAAAGAAAATAAAACATTAAATAAAAAATAAAAAATTAAATACCAAAAAAAACAAAAAGAATCAAACAATGAATGTGTGGAAGAATTTTTATTTTGGCATTTAAACAACAAAATCAGACAGTTAAGCAGACTTATGTGATACATTAGTAACTTAATATGTTAAGGAATGTTTTACTTCAGACTGTACTTTCTGTCACGGTCAAATTCAACTGCAGACTTTCAATTTCATATGAAAAACAACAGTTTGGTGACCAACATAAAGTTTCACCTTTTCTGTCATCATACTGCATCCTACGACCCTTATATTTCATAATAAGAAAATGTCAAATCTGTAACTTTCCGGTGTACAACTGTAGTATCCATAATATGACAACTAATTTTAATGGCTCTTGTGAAGGTCAAACAGATTGTTTTCTCTTCAGAGAATGGAGGATTTTCTACTTTCATCTCAGTGCAGCGCTGATCCCTCTCTTGTCAAGATACTATGATTCATGGGAGAAGAGAAAAGAAAGAGAAAAGCAGGGATCTCTGAAAGCTTCTGAGAATATATTCCTCTTTAGTGCTTCCACACTAGTTGCAGCTTTCGTCCTCACAACCTCACCGTCCTCGCCCTGTCCTCGCTCAGGGCTCACTTTTACGCCATTCAGTTTCAAGATTAGTTATTGCCTCCAGCACTGCAATTGCGGAGATAGTAAAATGCAGTCCGGTCGAGTAACGTCACAACTGACAGATTCTATGGATGTGCAGAATGTGTGACGAGGTTTAAGGAGAGACAGAGGAATGCTAGACCTGACAGATCATTATTAATGAGGTTTATAAAAATGTATAATGTATTGGAACTGGACGAGCTCAAACTAACTGCAGGGGCTGAGAAGTTTGACAAAACTCTAGGTGATAAGGCTTTGCTGAATCATTAGAAGAATCTTCACGTAAAGAAATGATTTTTTCACAATCAGTCTGTCGTGGATACGTTCCAATTTCCCCAGGTTACATCATCTACTCCAAAACCAACACACCGCTGTCACAAGAACAGACAACACGGCCCAGACCCTGCAGGACAGATAGAAAAGCGGTGTCACCACAACGTACCTTTGTGCACAACAAAGCCTCATTGTTACCTGTCACAAGGTCCAGGTACCTGAGAGACACCCAGGTTGGAAATGTGGCACCGCTGTCAGTGAGGAAACCACAAAATTGCAAAGTAAATTATCACAACACACGAGATGTTGCACCCTTTTTATACGCACCTCTTCTTCTTTTTATTTCTGAAACTTTTCAGTCAAACAAAGCCCAATTCATAACGGCCATAATCTGCATTTGCAGCATGTGTGCAGCCGTGTTTCGGTGACTCAGATACAAACTACTCTCCCGTTTAACCGGTCTACTCCAGGCACTGGCTTTGAAAGTCTAAACTCTCATAAAGGGATAAAGACAAACCCGTTAAGCGTTTAAAGGAAAAAGTGGCCAAATTATTGAAACACAAAATCCATGCATAGAAATAATTCCCTCATTTGGAGTTCCAAATAGAAACACATACAGCTACCTGTTCATTATTGATGTCCATTTGCAGCAGATAACAGCCTAATACCAGCTCCGGAATCACGATTAATCGACAGCTACGCCGTGATCAATCTGAACAAAAACTGTAATTGTTCGGCGGCTCTGATATAACTGCATATTTGTGGCAGAATTGCGTCCATTTGCCAATTCATTCCAAATTATACGAGCTTCTGAGCTAATAAAATGGCTCCTGTAATTTATCTGACTCCCTGAGTAATGTGTTCACCCACGTTCTCACCCTGGGGTAAATGAAGAGACTGATACCACTCTCGCACATCCCAAACATGAAGCCTGTTAGCTTGACTTATTACACAGAGAGCTAACCGTACAGTACGCAGACACACACGTATATAAAACTTTCTCAGGCATATACTGTAGTTGTATTTCACAGTAATAATGAGCGGAAGAACATTATTCATTGCAACGTAATTAGATGCAAAACCAACAGCAACTCTGGTTTGTTACGTGAGTATTTGTTCCTTCCGTGCAGTGTGCAACTTAGCAGCCAGTCATCTTCTGGCCTCTGGCTCAGTTTTAATGAGACTGTCCTCGCCTGTCCTCTCACCTGCACATGTCACATACACACACACACACACACACACACACACTGACACTGAATAATATCACCTAGATTGATTTGTGTCCGTCATCCTAATAAATCAAGACAGTAAAACTGACAGATTTAGGATGAACTTTTAGCATCCATGATATATGTCCACGTTTGCGTCTGTCTGGGGCCAAAGCCCAGGAGTAATAATGGAATTAAAATATTTTTAGCATTTTATTGATTCAGAATGAATATCAGTTGTGCAATCAAATTCTCAGGAGGCACTTCAGTGATGTATCAGACGCTTTTGATGCTTGCTTAACGCGCAACCATCCTGTCACTGCAAGGATTCAAACCTGCAATCGTCCGTTTAGGAGGATTTTTTTTCTTTACCAACCACAGGCTGCCCCATAATGACGTGTTTCAGCAAATGTGGTCAAAGCAACCAAATAAATGAATTCTTCTCAAACTGATGAACCTCTAGACTTCAACTCTAAATTATCAGTATATTTACCCAACCATCCCATTCAGTTTAATTACAAAGTGCCTTGCTGGTAGACATAACAAAGAACAAACTTCACAGTTAAATGAGCTCACTCATGCATGCAGTAAGTGCCAGAGAGGTGGAGAAAAAATAAGGGCAACAAACCACGTACTTAAAGCATTTGCATTTTAAAGGATAAGGCCTGGATTACTGGGTCGGCCTGCAGCTCCTGAAGCTCCTTTGTTCATACATTTGTAATTTAAATGGAATTTGCCCTTTGTTACACATTAACTGTCCCCGGCTTTGTTCGGCATATATTTTATTGCTATAAGTCAAATTTGTTTATCTGCGAGTGAAAGAGAGCCATGGGTTTTGTATCTGGTCTGAAACTGTGTTTCTTGTAAACAACAGCAGTTTGTCCTGGACATTGAGACAAATATAAACAGTGTGTTTGGAGAAATGCGATTTCCTCCAGCGACACTGCCCCATAAATCACAGCATTAGTTTTAATGTGGCTGTTGATGGGAAACAGGTTGCGGCAGAACTGTAAACATCGTTAGTACAACATGTCGCTGCAGAAGTCCAGCTGGAACGCATTACAGACACGGTGGAACGGACGTCACGGCATTATTTGATTCCTTATAATTGTCTGTGAAAAGGCAGAACGTTCATATACACCGTGTACCGGTTTGCTGTTGTCTAGGCTGTGGCCTTTTTTTTTTATCATCAAAGTTGGATGATTTGATTTACTTTGACTTTACATTATTGGATGAAGACCAATAGACAATGGAACAGGTGTTTTAAGTCCCTACAATGTAGAATAGAATGGAATGTAAAACAATGCAATATTAATTCATTACCGAGAAAAAATCTAGTCCTGATTTTTTCTTTTGACCTTTTTGCAACTGTAACTTGACCCTGGGGATATGATGTGTCTTATTAAAGCATGCACCCAAAATGCATTTGCATGATCAGTTGGTTACTACACACGATTTACTTACCAGCCAAAAAATAAAGAGTTCACACTTATATTTACTCTTCTGTCATTTCCTCATACTTTGAGGCCTTCAGTCACGTGCAACCATTAATCAAAAAACCATATCTGACGTCTAACTGATCAGTAATAAAAATAAGACCCCCAAGCTCAAGATTGTAGCTCACACTGGTATCAATAATTAGCAATAATCAATATATTGGGATTGGGATTTATCTACGGCGTGTCATTGATTCCACACCTTTGATTCTGACACAATAAAAGTGTCAGTGCTGTCAGTGCTGAAGCCACCCGACAGAAGATTAAATGCCACTGGTGAGTGTAAGGTTCATTCTGGTTAACTGTGAGAACAGTGCCTTCACAGAGAGCACACGGCTGAACAGAGCACGCTGCATACCTCACTTAGCACGAGAAAAAAAAAAGGCAAAAAGAGAAAAAAGGATGCATATGCAGCCTCTGGACTGGCTGCACTCTTGTTTAAAATCATTGCCAGGTGTTCACAGTCAACCATGGGCTGCAGGAAGGGGAATGGGAGGGAGAGACTTCAAAAGTAAACAGCAGTCTCACAGGCCAAGTGTATAAATTTGCCGACTGAGAGGGAGGAAAATAATTAAACAGGCTGCAAAACAAGAGAGCACACTATTGATCCGCACGCCTGCATCAGTCTTCATCCAAAACAAACATAATCAGATTTATCGTCACACACCAGCTGTCTGCACACACACACACACACACACACACACCCGAGCAGAGGATAAGTGGGTTTACACTTGCAGCCTCGCCACTGAAATGATACCGCTGATCACATTATAGAACAAGAGCAGAGTGTGTCCCAGCTGATGTCGCCTTAAAACATGTCCAAAGTACAGGTCAGCGACAGAGGGCGTCAAGGAGACAAGGAAACAAGACAAGGAGACAGGGCGCTGGTGCTTTAAAAATAAAAAGCAACACCTTCGCTGAAAACATTTCCTTTGAGAGCAATGTTGCTGCTTTCCCATCATCTGTTTAACACACTGTGGAAAGCTGTGACAATGTCATCACTTTTTTCCCATTGATAAGTTACTGCAAATGAACCTATGGGATCATTCAGCAACAGTTTTCCCATGGTGAGAAGTGACAGTTTGTACATACCTGAGGTACGTGATACACAACAGTGATCGACACCTTCATGAAATATCCGACAACAACACATAATCCCACATAAACACGACAGAGCCCAGATATTTGTATATTGTAATTGTGTTTAACTCTGTTTTTCCCACATTGCTGATTTTATTTCATCAATCATCATTTATACCAATGACGTACTTATTATACACATATTGTTTTATTATCCATATAAATGTTGATAAAAGTTTTGATCTGATTAATCACAAAAAATACTCGATTAATTATGATTAATCGAGATTGATAAACATTCGTAAACATATCAAAACAACTTTCTGTTTCACACCTGTGCATGTTTATATTTACATATAGATTCATCACAGTCTAATCTAATCCAATCTGATCTCATTTCTCTAATATGACAGCCTGTTATGGCTGATGTGCGGTGTGCTCGGCTGTTGACCTACCTCTTTGGGTGAAAGCAGGAGTTCAATAGTGTCCGCAGTCTCCCTGGAACATGCTACTTCTGACAGAGCCACGGTGCAAGCCCTGCTCTGGAGGAGCGGAGTGGAAGTCACCTCCTCTCGTTCCCGAAACGTTGTCTTGAGGGACGGAGGGAAACGAAGAGTCCACCCCCAACCGCTTCTTTGGCACTGGTTGTTTACGCACTAAAACTGCAGGAAGTTCTTAGCAGAGATGATTTGCGTTCATTTAAAATGACACTGAGGCTCCGGCTGCAGAAGAAGAACGCGTGTGAAGGATGGGCTCGAGAAACAGACTGCGCTGCTACGTACTACTCCGCTGCTCCTTCTCAGCGTGACTGACCTCCTCCTTCTGCTGCGCTGCCGCTCCTACTCCTCTCTCAGTCTCTCTCTCTCTCTCAGTCTCTCTCTCTCTCGCTCGCTCTCTCTCCCAGATCAATGGGTGTGTACGACTGGGGGGGGGGTCTCCTCGTGCACGCCCGTGACGTGGGAGGTGTAAACATTCCCCACGTTTTGGATCAATAGAAAAGATGTATCTATATGTGTCGACCTATCTATCCATCAGTAGCTTTGGTATTAGAAGGAGTACTAGCAGGAGTTATAGTGATAGTTGAAGTAGTAATAATAGTCGTAATAGTAGTAGAAGTACATATTTAAGTAGTAGTACTAAAAGTTTTAGCAGGTCCAGGACCTGGTTGCAGCAGCAGTAGTGGTATGGTAAGAGCAGTACTAAAATTATTAGTTATGGAGGGATAGTTATAGTTAGTAGCAGTAGTATTAATATAGGTATAGTACTGGGTGAGACTGACTTGAAAAATGAACTAATAGTACGCGTAGCTGCTGTTGTTCTTGTGATAACTGTAGTCGTAGTACTTGCAGTAGCAGTGGTGTTGGTGGCAAAAGTACAGTAGTAGATGCAGTAGTAGTTCATCGACGGGAGTTGCAGTATTGGAGTAGTCAAAGTAGCAGTGGCAGCAGCTGCAGTACCAAAGGTGGCCATAAGACTACCAGCAGTAATAGTAGTGACAGTCACAGTAGTACGTGGTAAAAGCAGTAGTACGGGGCAGTTGAAGTAGTAGGTATTAGTGAGCTGCACCTTTGCAAATTTGTAAACGTTATCATTACACGGTCAAACTATGCAACTTATTTTTTGTCACTGTCCGTAAATCACTAGGAGTGATAACGACATATAAGTTAAGACGTCATGTTAGTTCATCAGTGCTAACGGACCAGGACTAACAACTAAGTTCGTAAACAGTTTCCTTAGTAACCGGGGTTTTTCGCCTTTAAGGTCAAAAGTGGTTGTACTTTTAACATAATGAGAACCTTTACGTTCTTTTAAGCATAATCTCCTACATCATGTGCATAACTCATAATAACTCACTGTGAAGCTGTAGCCTATAACAATTTAGTTTTGCGTGTTTTTATTGTTTTTCTATTTTATGTCTTTTAAAACATTTGTTTTGAAAGTTTGTTGTAAATTTGGTCCAGATTTCCCTGTGGCTGTGGGTTTTAGGTTCTTTAATCAGTGCTGTAAAACACACTGGCGCTCTGTAGTTAGATGGTTTATGGTCAATATTTGATATATGAATGTACTGTAGTACTAATACACTGGATGGGCTAATTGCTCAGACGACAGTAGATCACAATTACAGTCCAAGCTGTCTGACTGACGGAACGGGTCAAACTAGCTCCAGCTTCGTGACCAGCACAGGGAGAACATTAAGGCATTGTTTGTATAGTACTCAACTGCAGGAACCTTTTTTTTAAGATGCTATGGTGCATAAATCAAAAACAATGCACCAAACTCTAAAGGTTTGACCGGCTCGCAGCAAACCCACAGAGGAAGTCCTATAGGAGTAGAAGTGCATTGTGGTTATTGTTCAGAATGGTTGGGACTTCAGGAGTCTAATTTTATCTGTGGATATCTTCTGTGAGCCACATCTGCGGTGGTTGTTGACGACATGTCCGTCATTGACTAATGTCTTTGGCAGACACTGGGAGCTCCAGAGTCAATGTTTACTATGTTTTTATGTACAGTGCACTTGTGTTGTGGTGACTGCAGGCTTGTATTTGGGTTTTCTTCCCATCAACTGCTTTTATGAAGACAACAATTTCTGCAGCTTTGTGTTAGAGTCGATGCAGTAAAGAACCGTCAGTCCTTGATACACGTGACACGAGAGACATCTAGTGGATGCATGTTGAAAAATCAGGAGAAGTCTAAAGGCTTTCGAAAGTCCTCATAACCGCCGGCATTTAAAGATGTCCTTATATAGAGGATAAAGTCCCCCGTAATTATGTAATGCTTCTGACACAAGGCTCGTGTGTTTTTTCCCTTGGTCATTTGGCTGATAACGCAAAACAGACTGCTCATAGTCCTATAGTCTTATCGTTATATGTTCTGATTATCCACAATTTTTGTTAACCGTTTGTTTGCTCTTTAGAGCCCCATTTGGTACGATTTTCTTTCAGGAAATGGTTTTATTTATTTTGTACACTGACTACCAAATTACAAGTTTCCATACTGGTAGGAATCTAGGTATGTGGGTCATCAGGTAGGTAGGTATGCTGTTAGATCGGTAGAGCAGGAAGTATTGATCATCCAGTATGCCTTGGAGTTATTTCGTATTCCTAATTCTAACTGTAAAGAAGGGCGTTTCAATGTTCAAACTAATATAAAGCGCAGGAATCCCGTACATTGTAATATACACAAATGTGTTTTGTATAAAATCTGGGCCTAGCTTTATATAGAAGAGCGAGTCAAAGGGTTCTAAGAAGGTTGTGATGTTTTGAAATGTGTTTAAACGGTGTCCAATGGTTTAGTTTTAAGTCTGAGACGGTTATAACAAGTTGTAGCCTCTTTTTTTTCAAAGAATAAAGCTGTTATATATTTCATTTCATTTCATGACCCGGAAGCTCTTTTCTAGAGCTTTCGGTCTGTACACAAACTTGACAACATGTGAAATACTACCTCTATATTCTGTTCTGAGATAAATATATGCTCCATTCCTGTAATTACTAAATATATTTTTTAACATCATTTCTAAAGATTTAAATTATTATTATTATTTCTACATTTAAATGTTAAAAAGTAAAATAAAGTTTAGGGGGGAAAACTGTCCCTTTAAGAGGGACTTCCTCAAAACAAGCCCCGCCCAGCGTAGCTCCCCCTCCCACAGAATGTTGCTGGTTGATTTCCGCAGCGCGTGACTTTGCTTACTGCTGTGGAGCGAAAATGTTTGTTTCGTTGAAGCTATCTATTTTTCTATTTCTGTTGACGTTAGGCCCGTGTTCGGGGCGGCGGACCAAGTTCGTCAATAAAGAAGAGGAGAACGAAGAGCCCCTGCTGGTGGCCGGGACGTCACCGTTCGGTTCTTTGTGGCCACTGCCACAGAAAGTCTCTATTACTGATGTTTCATTCAAGTTAACTGGTTCCTCTTTTAACATCGTTGACGCCACAAAGTCCTCCGCGGGTCCGAGCTGTAACGTCCTGCAGAATGCTTACAGGAGGTAGAGATTGATTGATTGATTGATTGATTGATTGCAGAAAAATGAAAGTAAGTGTAAATGTCATATGACAACATACAGTCCTAGTGCTCTGGCCGTCTTTCCACTTCCATATTCATGAGAGTTGCACCACTTTTTTTTATCTAGCTTCAGTATTTTTGAAATGCTAACAATCTATATTTGCTATATTCGTTGATACGATAACATTTTTTTCTATACTATATATTTTTTTGATCTGACATTATTGTAATTATCATAGTACTATTAATACAGTTTATTTTTTACGATTTTTGTTAAATAAAAATGTATGTTATGGTAAACCTTCCTAAAAAACAAAATATATGAGTTTCGTTTGTGGAAACATGATTCATTGTCATTTTTAACAATATGTTTGTGGTGTTTCACAATTGTGAAAGCATCAGCAATTCTTCTGTCAAAGTTTGGATTTGTTAGAGATGTCTAAGATTGTTTTGTGCTTGCGCAGAAAGTTCCAGACATTTACTTTGAATAAAAACTATTATGCCATAATACAAGTTAATGTTGTGGTTAGCATTTGTTTTGACAAAGGTAGCAATGATATTTGTTCATATGGTTCAGCACTTTGGTTACACCCATGTTTGTCGTAAAGGATGTTACAACGCTTTGTCTCCTCTCATAGATATTATGAGTACATGTTTGGTGGCGGGGCTAAAAAGCAGTGGCTAAACAGGCAGGCGGGCCCCTCTGAGCTGACAGAGCTGCAGGTATGGATCACATCACCTGACTCTGAATGTGACGGATACCCCAGCATCACGGCAGACGAGTCATGTGAGTCCCTGTTTTGTTGTCCCTTTTTGAACTTGCACCACATCCTGATATTCAGGAATATTGACTCAGCTAAAATTCAGGCCTCTGACACAAAAGATTTTTGCTTTTTTTTTTTTACACCAAAACTAACAGGCAACTGCTTCTTCCCACAGATGAACTGACTGTAGACCAACCATATGCAATCCTGAAAGCACCAACAGTCTGGGGCGCTCTTCATGGTGAGATCATTTCACTCCATCCATGGTGACATTGCACTCTAGGAAAAAAAAGGACTCTGTTTTTTGTGTGGCAGTTTTTATTTGTTTGTTTGTTTATCTGGAACAAAACTATGGGATACACATACACACAAGACTTTATTTTTCACATGGATAACTACAGTAAAATGCCACCCAAATCAGCTTCAGTTCAAACATTAAATATGATAAAGGTGTGCACAGTAAATGTCCTGTATCAAAGTGATGTCCAATGAAAACACACCAACACATTATTGAGTTGTTATGAATGTGCTGAAGTATGTGCCCCAGTAATTTACACTCCCTTCACACTGGTGCTGGGAAACGCAAACCAAAATAAAACCAGTTCTGTCTTTGAAATATTGATACTGATAAATGGTGCCATTAAATCAATTGTTTTTATTTTTTATTTTGTAGGGCTGGAAACATTCAGCCAATTGGTTTATGAAGATGAATACGGAGCTGTGAGTGGAAATTCAGTGGTACAACATCCTAATTTCTCTGCTGTGCTGTAAGGGAGTCATACGTTGTTGTTGTTTTTTGTTCAGAAAAGCATCAATTCCACAACCATCAGCGACTTCCCCAGATTTTCACACAGAGGCATCTTACTGGACAGCTCCCGACATTTCCTGCCCATCAAAGTAATCCTGGCCAATCTGGTATGTGAATAGTCACTGTTTCATATGTTTCTTTGCTCATTTCTATCCAAATATGTGACATTTTTTTAACACCTGTTATTTGGGTTCCTGTACAGGAAACAATGGCAATGAACAAATTCAACGTATTTCACTGGCACATCGTTGATGACCAGTCCTTCCCGTACCTGAGCCAAACATTCCCGCAGCTGAGTCAGAAGGTCAGTCAGTTAAGGAAAGGTGACAAGTCTTAGCCAATAGTAACGTGAAAGTTTTGTGTTGAAGGTTTACTGTATAAGGTACAATTTGTGTGAAATATTTCATATTCCATCAGAAAAAATATCATTTAAAAAACCGTTAACTGTTGTTTATAGTGTCGTGTTGTTTTTGTCCAACAAGAATAAGCCACGGGTAAATTTGCATTGATGGTGGCTGACATTTTTTGACATTGTCTTTTGTCTCTATGTACTTCATTGGATGGTAAGTTGAGAGTTATTGAACCATACCATGTAACTTAACCATAACTTAATAGTCTGTGCTCAACAACATGTACGCATAAAGAGCCTTTCGACCGTTCTGTGTATTTGTTATGAGATAACGTGGTACATTTTTGGTAAGCTGCATGCAAACGTTCTCCAACATATGAAGTGACGCAGTACCACCGGAAAGCATAGGAGGCAGTGTTGCTGCCCGGGAGTGGAATTCTATTTCTCGTTACTTCCTGCAGCGTTGCCGTGTTAGCTATTGTCTGAGAAACTCACATTACGCAGGAAATAAACTCTGAACTCAGCAGTGCCCAACAGTGGATTTATTGCTCAACAACCTTGGTAACCATAAGGCTCTAGACAATATTATAGTCACAATTCAATGAATCTTTGTCGTTCATTCTAGGGAGCCTATCATCCCTACACTCATGTCTACACTCCTGCTGACATTAAAATGGTGATTGAGTTCGCCCGGTTGAGGGGAATCCGTGTTATCCCCGAGTTTGACACTCCAGGGCACACACAGTCCTGGGGCAAAGGTGAGTTTTTGCTAAATAATTATTCATAATTAGTCTTGTTTCTCCCATCAGTTGATACCTGAACCACTCATCATTTGTAACAGTAACATCTGTTCTCGTTTTTAAGGCCAACCAGATCTTCTCACACCCTGCTATTCTGGACCTCAACCATCTGGTACCTTCGGACCCGTGAACCCCATCTTGAACACTACATATGACTTCATGGACCTGTTCTTCAAGGAGGTCAGCTCTGTGTTCCCCGATGCCTACGTCCACCTGGGAGGAGATGAGGTGGACTTCACCTGCTGGTGAGGCCGTGAATAGTGTCTCAGCATTCAGTGACCAATGTCACTTCCTG